CCGGACCCCCCCCAAAAAAAAAAAAAAAGTATTTACCTTTATATACTCTACTAGGTATTTCTCTCTCTCTCTTTCTGGCTTGCTTTCTTTCTAAAATTTTTTTGTGTGTGCTGGTCCTGGGCCTTGAACTCGGGGCCTAGGCACTATTCCTCAACTTTTTTGCTCAAGGCTAGTGCTTTACCACTTGAGTCACTGCTCTACTTCCAGCTTTTGGGTGGGTAATTGTAGATAGGAATCTTGCAGACTTTCTTGCCCAGGCTGGCTTCCGGATCCTCAGATCTCAGCCTCCTGAGTAGCTAGTATTACAGATTGGCACCCAGCTTCTTTTTTTCTTTTTTTCCAGTCTGGGGCTTGAACTCAGGGCCTCCAGTTTTCATTCAGCTTTTTTACTCACAGCTGGCTCCACCACTTGAGGCATACCTCTACTTCAGCATTTTGCTGGTCTGGTTAGAGATAGAGAATTGAAGACATTTTTGCTCTGACTGTGTTTTTTTTTATTTGGTTTTGGTTTTGAAGCTTGGATCTCCAAGTCTAGCTTCTGAAGTAGCTTGGATTACCAGTACCAGCTTCTATTAGTTTCCTTCCATCCTTCCTTCTCTTTTTTTTTTCCTTGTCAGTTGTGGGGCCTGGGCACTGTCCCTGAGCCTCAAATATAGTGCTCTATCACTTTGAGCCACAGTGCCACTTCTGGTTTTCTGGTGGTTAATTGGAGATAAAAGTCTGACAAGCCAGGCATCAGTGGCTCACGCCTGTAATCCTAGCTACTCAGGAGGCTGAGATCTGAGGATCAAGGCCCATGACTGAAAAAAAAAAAAAAGTCTCACAGACTTTCCTGCCCAGGCTGCCTTTGAACCACAATCCTCAAATCTCAGCCTCCTGAGTAGCTAGGATTACAGGCGTGAGCCACTGGCACCTGATAGATTTTTTTTTTAGGCTATCAGAAACCTAGTGGCATAAAATATTACACGTTTTCTAGTTCCTATGGACCAAGAGACCGGGCATATCTTAGCTGTTGTTATGCTCAGCATCTCCAAGACTTCAGTCAAGGTCGTGGCTGAAGTTCTAGTCTCACCAAAAGCTCAAGATTTTGTTCTGAGCTCATGTGATTGTTGGTAAAATTCAGTTCTTTTATATTGTAAAATTGAGGCCCTCATTTCTTTTTCTTTTCTTTTTTCCCCCTCTTTTCTTTCTTTCTTTTTTTTTTTTTTTGCCAATCCTAGGGCTTGTACTCAGGGCCTGGGCACTGTCCCTGAGCTGCTTTTGTTCAAGGCTAGCACTCTACCCCTTCAGCCACAGCGCCACTTCCAGCTTATTCTGTGTATGTGGTACTGAGGAATTGAACCCAGGACTTCATTCATGCTAGACAACAAGTCTGCCACTAAGCCACATTCCCAGCTCCCGAGGCCCTCATTTCTTTGAGGCCACATATAGTTTGGTCCCCTCCATAGTCATGTCACATTATAGCTTGCTATTGCTATGCTGCACCCTCTAGGAGGAAAGTTTGTCTTGTGTGTGCTGGCAAGGTGCTGACAGGTACTGGAAGGCAATCCTAGGAGTGTCAGCCATCATCACCTTTGCAACACAGTGTGCCCTCATCATGGGACTGATTGTCATCCTGTTGCCTTTGCTTTTAGTTTGAAGCAAATCACAATTCTTGCTACACCCAAGGATAGGATTATGCAGATGTGTATCATTGGGGTGTGTCTACCACACTTGCTTATTTGTTTCTTATATAGTCTCCCTTGCTAGAATGTGACTGGAGGCTCTTGTGTTTTGTTTTTGCATAATGCTTACAGCTAGCTATACCATAGCTTGAAAGCTAGTAGGTAACTGATTCATTTCTTTCTCTCCCTCTCTTTCTCTCCCTCCCTGTTTCTATTTTTTTGAGATGAAGTGGGGGTGGGGAGGTCATTTCATGTCTCCTTTTTGTGCCCAGGCTGGCCTTGAACTCCTGAGCTCAAACTTTTTCCTGCTTCAGTTTCTGAGTAGCTGAGACTACAGACATACTCCACTGTACTAAAAAAAAAAAAAAAAAATTTTTTTTTTTTTTGGTCAGTTGTGGGGCTGGAAATCTTGGCCTGGTTGCTGTCCCTGAGCTCTTCAGCTCAAAGCTAATACTCTATGATGAGCCACAGCATCACTTCCCATTTTCTGGTGGTTACTTGGAGATAAGTTTCACAAACTTTCCTGCCCAGGCTTTGAACCGCAATCCTCAGATCTCAGCCTTCTGAGTAGTTAGGATTATAGGCATGATCCACTGGGGGCTGGCTTTCAAATATATTTTTTAAAATTTTTATTTATTTATTTATTTTTGGTCGGTCGTGGGGCCTGAACTCTGGGCCTGGACGCTGTCCCTCAGCTCTTTAGCTCAAGGCTAGCACTCTACAACCCGAGCCACAGTGCCACTTCTGGCTTTCTTGCTCATGAGTGCTGAGGAATCGAACCCAGGGCCTCATGCATGCAAGGCAAGGACTTTACCACTGAGCCACCTTGCTAACCCTCAAATTTTTTTTTTTTTTTGGTTGGTCGTAGGGCCTGAACTCTGGGTCTGGGCACTATCCCTCAGCTCTTGAGCTAATGCTCTACCGTTTGAGCCACAGTACCACAGCACCACTTCTAGCTTTTTCTGCTTATGTGGTGCTGAGGAATCTAACCCAGGGCCTCATGCATGCAAGGCAAGCACTCTACCACTGAGCCACTTTCCCAGCCCCCCTCAAATTAAACCTTTAATTAAACCTTTTATTTTCACCAGGCACAGGTGGATCACAATCATAACCATAACTACTCAAGAGGCTAAGGTCTGAGAATCTCAATTTGGACCCAGCCTAGCCAGACAAATCTGTGAGACTCTTTATTTCTAGTTAATCAGTATAAAGCCAGAAGTGGAGGCATGGCTCAAGTGGTAGAGTGCCAGCCATGAGCAGGAAAGGCCAAGTGATAGCTTGAAGCCCCAAGTTCAACACACATAAAAACAAACAGCTGGGCACAGATGGCTCATACCTGTCATCCTAGCTCAAGAGGCTGAGATCTGAGGATCTCAAGTCAAAGCCAATCCAGGTATGAAGTCCAGGAGACTTTTATCTTCAGTTAACCAGTAAAAAGCTAGACATGGATCTCTGTGGCTCAAGTGGTAGAGCACTAGCCCTGAGCAAAAAATGTTCAGGGACAACAGCCAAGCTCTGAGTTCAAGCCTCAGGACCAGCACATCAAAACTAAACAAACAAAACCAAACTTTTATTTTTAATCATAGATTACAGGAATTATCAAGAGAGGGCTCATCACCCCAGCTTCCCTTAAAGGCAGATCTTATGCAACTTGGCTGCATTGCCAAAATCAGGAAATTAACATTGCTATAATGCACTTAACAATAAAGTCCAATTTTTTTTTGTTGTTGTTGCAGTCCTGGAGCTTATACTCGGCCTCAGTACTATCCCTGATCTTCTTTTATTCAAGGCTAACACTCTACCACTTGAGCCACAGTGCCACTTCTGGCTTTTTCTGTTTTTGTTTTTTTTCTTTTTTCTTTTTTTTTTTTTCTGGTCCTGGGGCTTGAACTCAGGGCCTGGGCACTGTCCCTGAGCTACTTTTGCTCAAGACTAGCACTCTACCACTTGGGCTACAGCATCACTTCCGGCTTTTTCTGTTTATGTGCTGCTGAGGAATGGAACCCAGGGCCTCATGCATGCAAGGCAGGCATGCATGCTACCACTGAACCACCTTCCCAACCCCTGGCCTTTTCTGCTTATATTGTTCTGAGGAATCAAACTGAGGGCTCATTCACTCTACTATTAAGCCACATTCCCAGCCCTCCACAGACTTTTATTATTTAAAGTTTTGCATCTTCTCCTTCTTCCTTCTTTTCCTCCCTCCTTCCTTTGCTCCTTCCTTTCCTCCATCCCTCCTTTCCTCCCTCCTTCTCTCTCTCCCACTTTCTTCCTCGCTTTCTCTCTCTTTCTTTTTTTCTTTCTTTCTTTCAGCTGACAGTGGCTTTGGAGACTGGGTAAGAAGAATGGGCAGGAATTTTACATCAAGGGCAACAGCGGCCAACAAGCAGAGCTCACAGAGCAGGTGTATTAGGGCTGGAAAAAAAAAACTAAACCTAGTGTGGGAAGGTGGCTTAGTGGTAGAGTGCTTTGCCTAGCACACATGAAGCCCTGGTTTTGATTCCTCAGCACCACAAAAGCAGAAAAAGTTGCAAGTGGCTTAAGTGGTAGGGTTGCTAGCCTTGAACAAAAGAAGCTCAGGGACAGTGCCCAGGGCCCTGAGTTCAAGCCCCAGGACTGGCAAAAAAAAAAAAGAAAAGAAAGTTAAATTTGGGTAGAGGGAAAGCAGGTGAAGCTGGAAAGGGGAAACATAGCCTTGGGCAAGGGGAAAAGAATTGGGGCATGGATGGCAGGTGTAGCTGTTCTGGGGGCTGATGGCACCATTCTCTGTTACTCTTGTTTTTTCATAGCTCCTCAAGCTGGGCACAGGCCTTCTGGAAAGTGGGCGGCATTACCTCGCTGCCAGCCGTGCCTTCATTGTTGGAATTTGTGATCTAGCTCGTTTGGGTCCACCAGAGCCCATGATGGCGGTATGTGGAGTCTGAACCTGGGTGAGCTGAGAAGAGATAGGATGAGGGGATGGTATTGTAGAAGAAAACCAGCAGGGCTGGGTCTGCTGGCATTTAGGACAGCCATAGCAGAAGTGTAGAATTGGGAGGCCTTGCTGTCCCACAACTAGTATTCTCTCTGTACCTCTTCTTCCCTCAGGAGTGTCTGGACAAATTCACTGTGAGCCTGAACCATAAGCTGGATAGCCACTCGGTGAGTAGGGGAAGGAAGGGGGGTGGGGGGGGGAAGAGATGGAGTATGGTTGTCTGTGGTCCTGATCCCCACCTGCCAACTTCTGCTCCCTTTAGGAACTTCTTGATGCTACTCAACACACTCTGCAGCAGCAAATCCAGACCCTGGTCAAGGAGTGAGATGGGAGGGAGTGGGGCCTTGTTTCCCAGAAACCAGCCCTCTAGCCCTTTATCACAGGGGCCCTCCTGATCGAAGGAGTTGTGAGGTTGGGGGGTTTCTAGTGGCTTAATTTCTATCCCTCCCTCCTAAGGACTCCCTTGGATTTCTGACTGCATACTGGTGGGCCTTATCTTGGGGAATGCTCTGCTGGGAGCTGGTATGATTTTGTGTTGTTTTCCCCTTCCCAGAGGCCTTCGGGACTTCCGAGAGGCTCGTCGGGATTTCTGGCGGGGGGCTGAAAGCCTGGAGGCTGCCCTTACCCATAATGCAGAGGTCCCCAGGCGCCGTGCCCAGGAGGCAGAAGAGGCTGGAGCTGCCCTGAGGACTGCTCGAGCTGGGTACCGGGGACGGGCATTGGATTATGCCCTTCAGGTGCTTGCCCCCAGCCTGTCCTTCCAGGGTGTGCCAGGGCCTCAGGTGTACTAATCTCAAGGCTGGTGAGTCCACTGGTATGCAGTGGTAGTGGGTACTATGATTTCAAGACTCATTTGAGATCTTTTGGGGCCTTCAGATCAATGTGATTGAAGACAAGAGGAAGTTTGACATCATGGAGTTTGTAAGTTCTGATGAAGGGTGTGTGTGTGGGGGGGAACAAGGTGGAAGGGAGCCTGCAGACCAAGAGGAGAAGGGGAGATGGAGAGAGAGGTCCTTCCTCTGCTCTGTGTCCTGCCCCTTTGTCCTCCAGGTGCTGCGTTTGGTGGAAGCTCAGGCTACCTATTTCCAGCAAGGCCATGAGGAGTTGAGCCAGCTGGCCCAGTATCGCAAGGAGTTAGGTGCCCAGGTAGGGCCCCATGGAATAGACAGATTGTTAGGCTTGAATGAGGGAAGCTTGAACATCTGAGATACCTCTTCTATGCCCAGTTGCACCAGCTGGTCTTGAACTCGGCACGAGAGAAAAGAGACATGGAACAGAGACATGTGTTGCTGAAACAGAAGGTGAGGTCTGGGTAACAGGCTTATGGCCATGATCTCTGCCCACCTCAGTTGCCTTTTGACCCTCCTGTGCCCCCACAGGAGCTAGGTGGGGAAGAACCAGAGCCAAGTCTAAAGGAGGGGCCCAATGGCCTAGTCATGGAAGGACATCTCTTCAAACGAGCAAGCAATGCATTTAAGACCTGGAGCAGGTAAGGAGAGGACACTCAAGTAAACTCACCAAATTTTGTTCTCTGGTACTAAAGGGTTGAAATCATGGCTTCATACTTTCCTAGCTTGGTGCTCTACTACTTGGGCCACACTCCCCGACCTTTTGTCTGTAAGGTGTGTGTGTGTGTGTATGTGTGTGTGTGCGTGCGTGCGTGCACGCGCGTGTGATGTACAGGGGTTTGAAATCAGGGACTGGGCATTGTCTCTCAGCTTGTTCCCTCAAGTCTGATACTCTACTACTTGTCACAACTCCTTTTCTGGCTTTTTGGTGGTCAGTTGAAGATACAAGTCTTGGGCGCTGGGAAGATGGCTTAGTGGTAGAGTGCTTGCCTCACACGCATGAGGCCCTGGGCTTGATTTCCTCAGCACCACATAAACAGAAAAAGCAGAAGTGGTGCTGTGGCACAAGTGGTAGAACGCTAGCCTTGAGCTGAAGAGCTGAGGGACAGCACCCAGGCCCAGAGTTCAAGCAAAAAATGAAAGAAAAAAAAGGAAGGAAGGAAGAAAAGGTAAAAGTCTCATGGACTTTCCTGCCTAGACTAACTTGATCTCAGATCTCAGCTTCCTGAGTAGTTAGGATTACATGTGAACCATTGGTACTTGGCTGGCTTCCTTCTTTCCTTCCTGCCCAGGCTGGCTTTGAACCACAATCCTCAGATCTCAGCCTCCTGAGTAGCTAGGATTACAGGTGTGAGCCACTGACACTCAGCTGACCTTATGCTTTTGCTTGTCCTTTTTGCTCATGCTGGTGCTTTACTACTTGAGCCACACCTGCAGCTCCGATTTTTGCTGGTTAATTAGAATTTGTCTGTATAGACTGGCTCTAAACTATGATCTCACTCAACCTTTTAAGTGTCCCAGGCTGGTATTGAACTCAAGAATCCTCTGACTATGAATCCTTAGTAGTTGGGGTTATAGGTATTTCCCACTATGTCTGGCATTAGTTTTCTGGGTAGTGATTTTAGTGTGCTAAGTACAGAAGAAGAAGGAGGAAGAGGAGGAGGAGGAGAAAGAGGAGGAGGAGGAGGAGGAGGAAGAGGAGGGGGAGGAAGAAAAAAAACAGACAAAAGCCCATTTCATAGGATATACATTCCATCAGCCAAAACAGACAATTTAAGCATAAGAAGTAAGTAGGTAGCCAGGTACTGGTGGCTCATGCCTGTAATCCTAGCTGAGATCTGAGGATGCAGTTCAAAGCCATCCCATGAAGGAAAAGTCCATGAGACTCTTTTTTTTTGTCAGTTGTGGGGCTTGAACTCTGGGCTTGGGTGCTGTCCCTCAGCAATTCAGCTCAAGGCGAGCACTCTACCACTTGAGCCACAGCACCACTTCTGGTTTCCTGGTGGTTAATTGGAAATAAGAGTCTCATGGACTTTCCTGCCCGGGCTGGCTTTGAACCACGATCCTCAGATCTCAGCCTTCTGAGTAGCTAGGATTACAGGCATGAGCCACTGGCGCCCGGCATCCATGAGACTCTTATCTCCAATTAACCACCAGAAAATAAGAAATGGCACTGTGGCTCATGGGATAGAGTGCTCACCTTGAGCTGAAAAGCTCAGGGACAATGCCCAGGCCCAGAATTCAAGCCCCATGACCAAAAAAAAAAAGTAAATAGGTTGTTATATTAGAAAGTAATACTACCTGGGCATTGGTGGCTCATGCCTGTAAATCCTAGCTAATCAGGAGGCTGAGATCTAAGGATCTCAGTGCAAAGCCAGCTTGGGCAGGAGTCCACGAGACTCTTATCTCCAATTAATTAAATAAAAAGCTGTAAGTAGCACTGTAGCTCAAATAGTAGAGTGCTAGCCTAGAGCAAAAAGAGCTTAGGGACAGCACCCAGACCCAGGGTTCAAGGCCTAGGACTGGAAAAATAATAATACTGCCACAGAAGGAAAAGAATACAGTAAAGAACATGGTGCACTGGATAGGTAGTGCAATTGTCTTTTTTTTTTTTCAGTGCTGAGGATCAAACTTAGGGCCTCAAACATTGCTAAGCAAAAGCTCTACCACTGGACCATTTCCCCAGCTTGGGGTGGGTCACAGTAGACCTTGTGAGAAGGTGACATTTTTTTCTTTTGTGCTTGGTACTAGGGACTAAACTCAGAGCCTAGGTACTGTTTCTTAGCTTTTTCACTCAAAGCTGCTGCTCTTATCTCTTGAGCCATAACTCATTTTTTTGGCTTTTTGATGGTTAGTTGGGAGATAAGAGTTTCATGGGCTTTGCTGCCTGGTCTGACTTAGGAGTATGATCCTCATATCTCAGCTTCCTGAGTAGCTAGGATTATAGATGTGAACCATGGTGCCTAGCAAGATGACTTTTTTTTTGGGGGGGGTGGGCAGTTGTGGGGCCTGAAGTCTGGGCCTGGGCACTGTCCCTCAGCTCTTCAGCTTAAGACTAGCGCTCTACCACTTGAGCCACAGTGCCACTTACGGCTTTTTTTGCTTATGTGGTGCTGAGGAATCGAACCCAGGGCCTCATGTATGCAAGGCAAGCACTGAGACACCTTCCCAGCCTGCAAGATGATTTTTGGGTCAAGTTGTTAAGGCTATTGGAGGAAGAATATTCTAAGTAGAAGGACCCAGGCCAAGGCCTCGAGACCTGGGCATTTGAAGAACAGTGACGAAGTGGGCCCTGGGCCTGGACAGAGTTGAAGGATGAGGAAGTAGGAGTTAATGTGGGTGTGAATTATTCTAGGTCCTTCTAGACTTTTGCCAAACTCTGGAGTCTAGAGATCCTAAAAATGAGGAGTACCTATAGGGTTTGGAGCAGGATGATGACATGCTCTGACATGGCTACGTCTTCTTCCAGAGGTACTACCAGCCCATGCTGTGCCTTTGTGCAGAGCATGGAGTTCTTTCCCCAAGATATAACCATTTGTCAAAATTATAGTAGTAGTTTCGTAAATTGTATGAGATTACAGTTGTAATCTCAGCACTCAGGAGATGGAGGTGGGAGGGTCATGAATTCAATGCCACCTTGGTCTAAATAGTGTAGCTTAGTGGTAGAGAGCTTGCTGGCATGCATGAAGCCCTGGGTTCAATTCCTCAGAACCATATACACAGAAAAAGCCAGAAGTGGCACTGTGTCTTAAGTAGTAGAGTGCTAGTCTTGAGCAAAAAGAAGCTCAGGAACAGTCCCCAGGCCCTGAGTTCAAGCCCCAGGACTGCCCCCCCGTAGGGGGGCAGGAAGCAGAGCTGGAGGTGTGTTGTTCAAGTGGTAGAACACCAGACTAGCAACTGCAAGCCCTTGAGTTCAAACACCATTATTTCCTCCACCAAAAATTAAAAAGAAAAAGGTTGTAGATTCAAATGCATTCATGACACACTCAGAAATGTTTACCAGCTATTTGAAACCCTTTAGCTCAGGCAAATAGGAAGTTATCAAGAACTTTTTTTTTTTTGGTCCAGTCATGGGGCCTGAACTCTGGGCCTGGGTGCTGTCCCTCAGCTCTTCAGCTCAAGGCTAGCGCTCTACCACTGAGCCACCTTCCCAGCCCAAGAACTTTTACAGGTACTAATAGCACTGGCCACAAGGGAAAACAATGGTAATGCTGAGCATTGGTGACTTATGCTTATTATCCCCAATCTTAGCTACTCAGGAGGCTGAGAGCTGAGGATCCAGTTTCTAAGCTAGCCAGGGCAGGAAAGTTCATGAGCCTCTTTGTTTGTTTGGCTTTTTTTTGCGGGGGGGGGGACTTGAACTCAGGGCTTGGGTGCTGTCCATGAGCAATTTTTCTCAAGGCTAACTCTCTACCACTTTGAGCCACAGCACCATTTCCTGATTTCTGGTGGTTAATTGGAGATAAGAGTCTCATGGACTTTCCCATCAGGGCTGGCTTTGAACCGACATTTTTAGATCTCAGCCTCTGGAGCAGCTAGGATTACAGGCGTGAGCCACCAGCACAGGCTCCAAGAGACTCTAATCTCTAATCAGCAAAAGCCAGAACTGGAGCTATTGCTCAAGTAATAGAGTGCCTTGGGCAAAACATCTAGGGACAGTACTCAGATTAAGTTCAAGCCCCAGTAGCTGCACGCACATAAACCCCTTCCCCAAAACTTATTAAAAAAGAATTTTACTGCCATCTGCTGGAATGCTTCTTATAAATATAATCCAATCTGGGTTACTCAAGGTGTGATGACAATTCTTTAGACATTTCAGTCTGTATAACTGTTCACCTTCTGTAGAATGTCTCCTGTGGGTGGTCAGTGCAAGTCTCCTCTCAGCAAGGTCCTTATGGGGGAAAGGTCACAGCCTCTCTTCTGTCCCTTCCTGAGCGTCATCCAGGGCTGTCCTCACCCATAACTGCTTTCACCTCCTCCAGACGCTGGTTCACCATTCAGAACAACCAACTGGTTTACCAGAAGAAGTACAAGGTGGGTAGGTCCTGGATGCCTGAGTTCCAGGGAAACTCAGCCCTTTCTTATGGCTGGACATCAGTTTCCTCATTACCTTCTTCTGCCAGGACCCTGTGACTGTAGTGGTGGATGATCTTCGACTCTGTACAGTGAAACACTGCCCAGACTCAGAAAGGCGTTTCTGCTTTGAGGTAGTTTCTACCAGCAAGTGAGTACAGTCCCCAGGGGTGACACTCTAATGTCTGTTTAGCTACCAGAAAGGCAGGGCGATCATGTAGTACCAGGCCTTGAGTCTGGATTGAGGGGCATTGGGGGGAGATAACAGTGATAAGGAGATATTTGGGAGAATGTTATCATTGAAGTGCACCAGGAGTTGGTGGCTCATATCTGTAATCCTAGCTACTAGGAGGCTGAGACCTGAGGATCATGGTTCAGAAGGCATCAAAGTCGTTGAGACTGTTATGTCCAATTATTCATCAAAAGGCTGGAACTGGAGAGTACTCACATGGTTCACATGGTAGAGTACTAGTCTTGAGCAAAAAAGCTCAAGGACCCAGGACCCACCCCTCCAGCCCCCCACATACATACAATTTTATTTTTTTTTTTTGCTGGTTGTAGGGCCTGAACTCTGGGCCTGGGCGCTGTCCCTCAGCTCTTCAGCTCAAGGCTAGCGCTCTACCACTTGAGCCACAGCACCACTTCCGGCTTTTTTTCTTTTTTGCTTATGTGGTGCTGAGGAATTGAACCCAGGGCCTCATGCATGCGAGTCAAGCACTCTACCACTGAGCCACCTTCCCAGCACATACAATTTTTTTTGACAGTCCTGGGGCCCTGGGCACTGTCTGTGAGCTTCTTTTTGCTCAAGGCTAGTACTCTACCACTTGAGCCACAGCGCTGTTTCTGGCTTTTTCTGTTTATGTGGTACTGAGGAATCAAACCCATGGCTTCATGCATGCTATTCAAGCATTCTACCGCTAAGCCACATTGCCGGCTCACACATACATTTTTAATAATATAATTTTGTTGTTAAGGTGTTGTACAGAGGGGTTACCATTTCACGATTCAGACAATGTGTACATTTCTCTTTTGGGTGATGTCACCCCTTTCTTCAGTTTCCCCCAGTTTCTCCCTCCAGTCCCTGCCCACAAACTGCATAATTAATTTTCCACCTAGTATATGTTGAATACCACGATTGCATTTGTTCACCTTCCTCCCTCCCTTTCTGTATCTCTCCTTTGCTCTCCCTAAAAAGCAGAAAAAGAAAACACATACATACACACACCACCACCACCTACAGAAACATGAATAACCCATGTTTTCATTTTTTGGATTTCATTTCTAAATCAGTACAATTCATACTAAATCCGTACAACTGGGCATAGTTGAATATCAGCTGATTCTTAGCCTGTCCATCCTGCCACTTGGCTCTTCAGGTCTCAGACCCAACCCTGTCACCTTCAACCCCCAACCCTAGGTCCTGCCTGCTCCAGGCTGACTCTGAGCGCCTTCTGCACCTGTGGATCAATGCTGTTCAGAGCAGCATTGCCTCAGCCTTCAGCCAGGCCCGCCTTGATGACAGCCCCAGAGGGCTAAGCCAGGTACCTTGATCTGTGGTGCGAAGCCAGCTAGCCCTGGGAGATGGGGGCCCCTTGGTCATCCTTTCTTCTCTGGTCTTCCTCAGGGCTCAGGACCCCTGGCCCTTGGCTACGCTGCCACACTGGGCTGTGGTGGGACAGTCCGGGGAAGGGAGCCTGGGGGAGTTGGGCATGTGGCAGCCCTGGTGCAGAGTGTGGACGGCAATGCCCAGTGCTGTGACTGCAGGGAGCCAGCCCCAGAGTGGGCCAGCATCAATCTTGGAGTCACCCTCTGCATTGAGTGCTCCGGAATCCACAGGTCATTTCCCTACAGTTCTGCTTCTCCTCGCTCTTGGGGTGTGACCCCCTGCCCATCCCACAGGCACTGTCCTCTGCTCTGCCCTGACTTCCTCCTACCTGATGGTTCTGTCACTTGTTCCCCGTGCTGGACCATGCCTGCAGGGGGCACAGGTGCAACCAGGTGGGCACAGCCCATCATAGTGTCTCCGTCTGGCCAGGTTTGGGGGCCTCCTAGAGAGATGTACTGGCTTGGTTTGGGGAAACATGTGTCAGGGCTTGCTGAGGGTGGAGGAGCCTCAGAAGAAGGGGTAGTGTGGCCTTGGCATAGATATAAGGCTCTTACCTTACCCCCAGTTGGTCTGGTGCAAGGAGAGAGGAGAATGGCATGGGAAGAATTAGGTAACTGGAGAGGATGAAACATAGATAAAGTAGAAGAAACTACCAGAACTCTGTCTCAAGTCTTTTCCAGAGTGACAGCAGTCTCCCAAGCCCTAGAGGCCATGATTCCCTCTCTGGCCCTCTAGGAGCCTTGGTGTTCACTTCTCCAAAGTCCGATCTCTGACCCTTGACTCCTGGGAGCCAGAACTAGTCAAGGTAACCTGGGGTATTGTAAAGACTGTGAAAACAAAGAATTGGGGAGCCCTGAAAGGTCCAGACATCTAATCATGTAGTGTCTTTCTTCCTCTCCATTTTCCTCTGTCTGTCTGTCTGTCTCCTCCATTCCCTGCCCCCTGCCTGGGCCCCCTGAAGCTTATGTGTGAGTTGGGAAATGTTGTCATCAACCAGATCTATGAGGCCCGTGTGGTGGCCATGGCAGTGAAGAAGCCAGGACCCACCTGCTCCCGGTGAGGCTGGAGTGCAGGTGCCAAGGGCTCCCCTCCATGTGGACAGGAGATGGGGAAAAAAGAATGCTCCCTTTTTCTTCCCCAACAGGCAGGAGAAGGAGGCCTGGATTCATGCTAAATATGTAGAGAAGAAGTTTCTGACCAAGCTTCCTGAGATCCGAGGGCGAAGGGGTGGCAGAGGACCCCCAAGAGGGCATCCTCCTGTGCCCCGAAAGCCTGGTATCAAGCCCCGGCCAGGGAATGTATCTAAGCCAGGTATAGAGTTGGTTAGACATTTGCTGAATGTCTTCTATGTGCCAGGCCCTATAGGGGGCCACTGGGGTCTTATAATGGGATGCAGCACTAAATACAGGGAGGAATATGGGGCAGGGGTGGCTACATAAGAGACATCTACAGCAGGAGAAGAGGCAGGAGACTGGGATTTCCAAGACATTGGGAAGAAGGGTGGGAGCTGAGTCTGTCAGTCAGCTCACCTATGACACCTAGCCAGTTGGGGTAGTTGGACAGGATGAGGTTGGTGATGCTGGCTAAACCCTACTCCTCCCTCCCCACAAACCTACACACACTTACATGTAATCACACCCATGTCACCATAATCTTGACTCACAAAGGCCTCCCACAATTTAGAAGTGACCTGTCTCGTTGCAACATCGGGGGACTGCTGAAGGTTTTCTCTGCAGACTCAGCACTGATTTCCCCTAACAAAACTCACTCCTAACAGAGACTCCCTCTGATGACCTGGGAAGTCTGCACCCTGGGGCCTTGCTGTTCCGATCTGCTGGGCATCCTTCATCCCTTCCCACCATGGCTGATGCCCTTGCCCATGGAGCTGATGTCAACTGGGTCAATGGGGGTCAGGAGAATGCCACACCACTGATCCGTGCCACGGCTGCTGTGAGAGCCATGCTGACCTCTCTGCCCTACCTTACCTGAAAGTTCCTATAATCCCCACCCCATAGGGAGAAAAAAGCAATACAGATTGGTTGCTAAGAGTATGATTTAGAAGCAGAGAACCTAAATTTGAATTCAGGCCATTTATAGGTGACTTTGAACAAGTTAACAATCTTTTTGCCTCAGTCTCCAAATCTGTAAAATACAGATAGCATAACTAATAAGAAGTCTAATCTGATAAAATGATGCTATGACTTCAATTACCTGAGACTATGAATATGTACTGTAAATATATGTACTATGAGCTGGGAATGTGGCTTAGTGGTAGTGTGGTTGCCTAGCATGCCTGAAGACCTGGGTTCCTGGAAGTGGTGTTCTGGCTCAAGTGGTAGAGTGCTAGCCTTGAGCAAAAGACGCTCAGGAACAGTGCTTAGGCCCTGAGTTCAAGCCCTAGAACTGACTATATATATATATATATATATATATATATATATATATAAAGTGTCAGAGCTAGCCAGATTACTGCTCGTAATCCTAGCTACTCAGGAGGCTGAGATCTGAAGATCATTGTTTGAAGCCAGCCTGGACAAGAAGGTCTATCACATTCTTATCTCCAATTAACTAGCAAAATGCTGAATGTGGAGCTAGGGCTCAAGAGGTAGAGTGCCAGCCTTGAGGGAAAAAAGCTGAGCTCAACCCCAGTACTAGCCAAAGAAAAAAAAAAGTAGAAATGGAGTTGTACTGTGGCTCAAGTGGTGTAGAGTACTAGTCTTGAGCAAAAACACTCAGGGATGGTACCCAGGTCATGAGTCCCAAGGCTGGCGCGCACACACACACACACACACACACACACACACACACAGAGGCAGAGTTAAGCCTAGTTACCATACCCCTAAAACATCTGGAAATTCACTTGTAAAGATGCTCTTTGTTGGGCTGGGAAGGTGGCTCAATGGTAGAGTGCTTGCCTTGCATGCATGAGGCCCTGGGTTCCATTCCTCAGCACTACATAAGCAGAAAAAACCAGAAGTGGCGCTGTGGCTCAAGTGGTAGAGCATTAGCCTTGAGCTGAAGAGCTGAGGGACAGCACCCAGGCCCAGAGTTCAGGCCCCACAACCACCCAAAAAAAGAAAGAAAGAAAGAAAGAAAGGAAGGAAGGAAGAAAAGATGTTCTTTGTTGACTCCTCCATGCAGAATTCTCTTCTGGCCTGTGAGTTTCTCCTCCAGAATGGAGCAAATGTGAACCAAGCAGACAGTGCCGGCCGTGGACCACTCCACCATGCAACCATTCTAGGCCACACTGGGTAGGACCAGCTGGTTGATAGCTGTGGGGAGAGTAGTTGAAATGGGGACAGGACTGAATTTGGCTGTTCTCTCCAGGCTTGCCTGCCTATTCCTGAAACGGGGTGCCGATTTGGGGGCTCAGGACTCTGAGGGCAGGGATGCTCTCACCATCGCCATGGAAACAGCCAACGCTGACATCGTCACTCTGTAAGAAAGCCTGAAGGCTGGGGCTACAGTTTGGACAGTCTATCCATTAGGGTGGGGCTAATGCCAGGACCCAAACTTGGCATTAGGATCCAGGGACAGGTGTGGCTAGCCAAAAGAAAGGCAGTTCCCTGCGTGGATAGTGGGCATGGAGTGGGAAGGTGAGCTCACCCACTGACAGTTGCTGACTGGCATCTTTTAAGATACTGATGAGACAGATGAATGAAACACAATTCGGGTGAACCGATGGGGAGTTGGGGAGAAGGGAAACTAACATCATTTATTTTGTAATTCCCACCCCTTCAGGCTACGATTGGCAAAGATGAGGGAGGCTGAGGCAGCTCAGGGCCAGGGAGGTAAAGTATTCACCCACACACATAGTCCAGGCCCAGCAGGAATTCTTGTATTTGGCCCTTGCTTATCTGTCCCCCTGGTGTCCAGTTGCCTTAATGCCATTGTTTATTCAACAAATATGTATTGGTCTGGACGCCGGTGGCTCACGCCTAGCCACTCAAGAGGCTGACCTGTGAGGCACGAAAGTCCCTGAGACTCTTTTCTCCAATTAACCACCAGAAAACCGGAAATGGAGCTATGGCTCAAATTGGTAGAGGGTTAGCCTTGCTTGAAAGGGCTCCGGGACAGTGCCCAGGCCCTGAGTTCAAGACCCCCCCCCCAACAACAACAAAACATACCAATACCAAACAAACAAAAAAATAAATATGTATTAGGCCCAGCAGACACACTAGGCCCTCAAAACAAAGAACAGAGCTGCGCTCCACCCACGCTCACTCCCGCCTTTGCTAACTGGGGTGGAGCTATGTGGCTCCCCAAACTTCCTTCCTTTTAGGAGATGAGACTTATCTTGATATCTTCCGAGACTTCTCCCTCATGGCTTCAGACGACCCAGAAAAGCTGAGCCGTCGGAGTCACGACCTCTACACGCTCTGATCGCGAGCTTGTCCTCCCCCTCCCCCCCCCCGTCCCGCCCAGCCCCCCCCCTGACCTTTTCGGCCACTAAAGCCTCTATGCTTTGCTTTTCCCTTTGTAATTCATTGATTGGGCGCCACGCTGGG